GACTTCAACTCCCAGAATTCCCCAGCCAGCCATGCTCTCTCTTGGAAGACTTTCAGTGAAGGACTAAACCCTTCATGTGGCTGCCTGTTTCACAGTCTGACAACTGCTACAGTCAGGAAGTTCCTCCTGATATCTAAACTGAACCTTTTTCTTGTGGCTTTAACCCCCAGAAGAGGAGGAGTCCCCTCACTTTTTTATCTGACAGCACTTCAAATAGTTGGGGGGAAAAAATCCTCTTCCGCTCCTGGAATAAAGGAATTTCTGCAGCCTCACACCATTCTTAGCTTTGAGCGCTAAGTTAGAAAGGCAGGGTGTACACCAAAATCATCATCACAGAAAAAAATCTGTTAGTTTTCTTCTCCTTTGAATACTACATCCAGTTTGGATACCACATATTAAGAAAAATTCAGATATACTATAATGGGTCCCTAGGAGAGCAGCAACAATGTTCTGAGGGCACACTTTTAAAGTCCTGCTGACACAGATGGAGGGAGCGTTTCCCTTTGCGAAACCTAATGGGGGGCTACAATTAGCATTATCAAACCCCAAGGGACATCATGCAGAAGAAGGCCACAACACGTTTTCTGTCTCCCCAGAGCATCAGATGTGGATTTGTGGTTTGGAAGACAGATTCCTGCTGAATGTCTGGAAAAATAACCTAATTTTAAGAGCAGTTGAATTCAGACAGCGGTGGGTTTTCCTTCTCTGGGTCTCTTCAAGCCGAGGTTGGATAAACATTTGTCAGAGATGCTTTCATTTGGATTCCCCCACCGAGTAGGAGCTTGGCTTGGGTGGCCTCAAGGGCCTTTTACGTTTCTGTACATAAATAAGCAAAACATTGACAGATGAATTGTAACCTTTCGCTATAGCCTGGAAAAGGTGATACTATCAGTCCTCGGAGGTTGGCAAAGTCAGGAAATAGGCACTGCAAGGATTCCAAGAAAGCTAATTTATTGTTGGGTAGAATAACAGAACCAGAAAACGTGTCAGAGTTTCCCTCTGCCCCACCTTATACCAAACTGAATCAAGATGGGGTTATCTTGAGTTTCTTTCTCACACGTTCCACTTCCCCAGGACTGAATTGCTGTTTCTCCTCCCTTAACGGTTCCTTCCTTCCTTCTCTCCCCAAGGTCGTCTCTACATTCGTTTACATGCTCAGAATGGCACCTCCCCCTGTGTCTTCCCATTATCACATTTTCTTTTTTGTTCCAGAAGTGGACGCTCGACGGTTGTCTTCCAAACAACCCCTATAGACCCCAACATGTGACGTGACCATGCAACATTGCAAGGCCCTTAAGCCTTGTCTGTGTTGAGCAGCCTCTGTCTTGAACTGAACTTATCACCCACCTTTGCTGATACGAAGGGCCAGACGTTTCTACAAGAGCACCCCAGCTAAAGAAGGAATGTTCCTTCCAAACAAAAATGGCTGAAGGGCAGAGCAAGGCATCCCCCCCTGCCCTGGGTCTCCAGGTCCAGACTTTGCTTGAGGAAAAGGGGGAGATGGGAATGAAAGTGGAAGAGGAGGAGGAGCTGATCAAGAGAGAGGAGGCCTTGCCAGGCCCTCAGTGGGGGACGGCGGGGCAGCCTCTTTGCTGGAGAGAGATGTCATTCGTTAAGCAGGAGCCGGAAGATGGCCTGTCGTCCCTCCGTTGGGAAGCTCAGTGGCAGGAGTTCCTGAAGGCAGTTCAGTGTCCTGGGCTGGGAGAGAGAATCCCACTTCTTTCACCAGGCAGGAGAGACGCTAAGGCTTCCTTTGAGGAAATCGCACCCCTCAGCCATGGAACTGCAGAGGAGAGAGGGATGGTATTACATGCTGCTTTTAACGAAGCAGCTCGTCTAATTGACCACAGGCATGAGGCGGGAAGGGACAATCCCACCCAAGTCTGGGAAATCAAGATAGAGGATGTCATCAGCTCTGACATCCAGCGCCAGCATTTCAGGCAGCTCTGCTACCAAGATGCCTGGGGCCCTCGAGAAGTTTATAACCAACTGCGAGAGCTTTGCATCCAGTGGCTGAAGCCGGAGAGGCACACGAAGGAGCAGATCCTGGACTTGGTGATATTGGAGCAGTTTCTGGCTGTCCTGCCTTCAGAGATGCAGCACTGGGTGAAGGCGCATGCTTCCAGAAACTGCTTTGATGCTGTGACCCTTGCAGAGGATTTCCTTTTGCAGCACCAAGAGCCTGAGAAACCAGTATGGGAGGTAGGAATCATGGCTTTTATGTCTGATCCATCTTGGAAAGCATTTAGGTCAGCCTTCCCCGACGTTTGCTCTAAAGGTCTTAGATTTCAGCCCACCATGTGCAAGCTAGGGGCAACTGAAGGTCATCAAGTCTGGAAGCACAGAGTTGATACAATTTGGAAAAGGTTTACAGAAGGGCAAATAGGGCAGGAGCCCAGGCAAGAAAATGAGCTCCAGAAAGTTTTAAAAATTGGGTATGTTTATCTTGGAAAGAAAGAAAATTGAAGGAAGGACATGATGGTTGTTACTTTCTGCCAGAAGAACCAAAAAAAAAATGTGTTTTTGGTATTTTGGGAGGACTTAAATTTAGGTTTTAGTGGAACATGACAGTAAGCACCTTTACTTTAAAAGAAGTTGATCAGGGCAGCCAGAAGTACAGAAAGCATTTTTCCCCTGATGGAGTTTTACTTTCAGGCAGCCCCAGTTGGAGATGTTTGACCTCTAGATTTCCAGCATCATCCAAGGGGGTTGGACTAGACAGCCTCTGAGGACCCTTTGAGCTTTAGGATTCTAGGAAGTGTCTTCCTCTCCCTATTCCTGCCTCACAATAATAATTTGACTAAAATGATAATCTGCATTTCAGGAGCCAGGAATGTTCAAGGATACTATGAATTTCACAGGGAAAGAAGAGAACTTGCTGGAAAGGGAACAGCAGCAATTCAAACAAGAGAATGAAGAAGTCAGGAATCCACTGGGTAAGAAAAAAATTACTCTTTGGTTGGAAGGGGGAATAATGCCCAAACTCCAGCTTCAACTCACCTGTTATCCTTCAGGTAGGTTGGCGTATTATTTGGGTTCCCAACATGTACCTGGCTTTTAATGTTTGGAAATTGTTTTTATTACACATTCAACAGGAGCCCAGCTTGCTGCTAAGTACCAGGGTTAGGGTTAAAGTTGGAGCTGGGCATGGGGGGTGAAGGGCTGAAGGTGTCAGGCTAACAGCAGGCACATCTAGGTTCTAGTCCCACTCCCAGAAGTGAGCACAAGAGCCAGGGTGGTCTAGGAGTGAAAGTGTTGGGTTAGGAGTGGGGAGACCCAGGTTCTGGCCCCCCCTTAGCCATGGAAGTTCCTTGGAGGACCCTGGACCTTCTCAGCTCCAGAGCCAGGGTGGGGTAGTGGGGAAGGGGGTGGACTAGGAATTGGGAAAGCTACTAGCTTTCTGGATATGGAAGGAATGTACAGTCATTTTGGCTTTGTAATATTTTGCAAACTGTGAAGTTCTGGGCACTCTCTGAGCTTGGTTGTTTGCTTGCAGACATTTCATTTCCCAATAGAGATAAACCACATTTCTGTACCATTCAAAAGAGGCAATAAAAAACCTAGGAAGGAAACAACAAGACTTGAACACACCCGCTCCAGCAGCCAATGCTCAGATAAGCAGGGACCAATGCCAGACAAACAGTCTGGCAGAAAACATGACTCTGATCAAGGAACCACCATCACCTCACCAAGACTGGCAGGGCAAGCTACTATACAGAAACAGGCAGCAAACCCCACATTTACTCACACTGATGCTATTAGCTAGTTGGGCAATGAAATGTCTGCAAGCAAACAACCCTGAGCTACAGATATTCTCTTCTGTTGGATTTTACGAACTGCCATTCCTATTTCCAGACTCAGAGAATTTAATTACACCATTGTTATCCATGAGGAGACCGTGTAGTTTTCTGTTCATGGGAAGGCAATTAGAAAGAAAATCAGAGCTCTCCATCCTAAGGTACTTTGGGATATATAAGTCCTACATGGGAAGATGTTTAGTTGCTGGAATTCTACTAACCCCATCCCTTACTTCTCAATAAATCTGGCTAATGAGTCTCCATGAGAATTGTGCTTGGAAAAGAATCGCTTTCAGCTTTAGGCAGATGCTTAAGAGGCTGGCAAAGATCTCAATACCCAAGAATAATATTTTCCCAATTTTTAAAAAACAGCATCTTTTCCTGTTCTGGCAGGTGATGGGGAGCAATGGAGGAGTGATGGGGAACCTTTCTCAATGCCATCAGGAAGAGGAACAGGTTCAGAGCCAGAAGTCCAACCTGGAACCCCAAGCGAGCTAGAGGAGGGTCAAAAATACAAAATGGAGAAATGGGGGAGTAGATATGCCTCTTGCCAGGATGGTGACATTTTGGGGGATTCAGTCCAACGAGGAATGCTCAGAAGGAAGAGAAGCGGCAGAGTTGGGGACAGCGAAAAGCTTTTCAAAGACAGATCCATCCTTACAAGAACTCACTCAGGAGAGAAACCTCATGAGTGTTCAGTGTGTGGGAAAATATTCCGACGACGTTCAGATCTCAACAGCCACCAGCGAACCCACACGGGAGAGAAGCCGTACGTGTGTGTGAATTGTGGGAAGCGTTTCAACCGGAGCACAAACCTGATTTCCCATCAGAGAATTCACACGGGGGAGAAACCCTATAAGTGCGCAGACTGTGGCAAAACCTTCTCTCACAAATCTGGCCTCATAAGGCATCAGAGAACCCACACGGGAGAGAAACCATATGCGTGTTTAGAGTGCGGGAAAAGCTTCAGCCAAAGACAGCATCTGATCACGCACCAGCGCAACCACACGGGGGAAAGGCCCTTTTCATGCCCCGAGTGTGGGAAAAGCTTCAACCAGAGCCAGCACCTTATTACTCACCAGCGCAATCACACAGGGGAGAAGCCCTTTGCATGCTCGCAGTGTAGCAAAAGCTTCTGCGATAAATCCACCCTCATCAGACACCAAAGGAGTCACATTGGGAAAAAGCCTTTTAAGTGCTCAGAGTGCGAGGAAAGCTTTTATCAGAGTAAACACCTTCTCAGGCACCAGAGGATTCACACCCAGCCGCTAGCACTCTAATTCAACTGTTTGCAGTCCTCCAGGCATGGCAAATGATAATTCCTGGGCTGGTGGGGAATTATGGGAGTAAAGATCCACCACATCTGGGCTATTTTAGTTGCTTTTTCTACCTTTTTGTGTATAAATATTGCTTGATCTTTATGTTTCTCTGACCGCAATTCATGTTTTTTTGGGGGTGGAGAATCTTGGATGTCTTTTCTTCAGTTGTCAAACACAATACAGAGAGCGCACCTAGTTACCATAAAATCATAGAATTGGAAGGGGTCCTTAAGGCCATCCAATCCAACCCTCAGCTCAGGGCAGAAACCCAAATTCAAGCATTCCAGAAAGATGGTTGCCTAGCTTGCTTTGATCAGCAACTCACAAGAGGCTGCAATTGTGTGTCTTCACAGCTTTAGAAAAGTTGCGGGGGGGGGGATATTTGGGACAATTGTACACACCACCCTGAGACTTCTTTCCCTAATTTTGCCTTCAGAATTCCTAGGCAGCTGTGAGAGAAGCAGCTGGACTCTTTTAGTGAGTTCTGAGCACACATAATTTCAAGGGAAACTAAACTTTATTGCATTAGAATGTGAAGAGCAAATGGGCTGAGGGAAGAAGACTGAGAAAGAAGATCTTGGTTGGCACCCTGAAAATGAGAGAGGGGGTAAGTTTAAAGAAAAGGCACTATATGATAAATGGAACAGTGGGGGAAGCAGGGATGGTCTACAAGAATAGGAAGATACAGAAAAATATAGTGTACGGGGCGGCAGGTAAACTAAATTTATATGTGTTTCCTTTTCCACATCTCTTCCTTTCATTTCCTTCTCTTATTCTTTGTTATCTCTTTTCTGGTTGCTGCATAATGCTGCTTACTCTGAAAGCAAAAAGCCTGGTGGGACAGTAAGGGTGTATGGAACCTTCCCTCCAGATCAGACAGCTGAAATCTGGGGGCAGATCCATTTGTTATTCTTTTTAATGAAGGCAAGAAAGGGGAAAATAAAATAAAAAGAGGACCAGTTTGGCCTAGTGGGAAAGGCACCAGGCTAGAAAGCAGGAGGCTTGAGTTCTAGGCCTATCTTAAGCATGAAAGCCGGCTGGGTGACTTTGGGCTGGTCACTCTCTCAGCCCAACCCACCTCACAGGGTTGTTGTGGTGGGGAAAAGGCAGGAGCACTAGTTATGCCACAAGTTGTACAAAATAAATGAACCTCTTGCTTAGTGAAGGATCCTCTGGAGCAGTATTTCTCAACTTTGGCAACTTTAAAATGTGTAGACTTCAACTCCCAGAATTCCCCAGCCAGCCATGGGGCTGGGGAATTCTGGGAGTTGACATCCACACATCTTAAAATTGCCAAGGTTGAGAAACACTGTTCTGCAGCATCTCTGACAAATGACCACCCAGCCTCTCTTGGAAGACCTTCCGTAAAGCCTTCATATGGCTGCCTGTTCCACAGGCAGACAATTCCTACAGTCAGGAAGCTCCTCCAGATAGCTAAACTGGGGAAAATAGGAGGAGGATTAGGTATGTTCGCTACCTTGAGTTATTTATAACAATAATAAAGGCAGGGTAAAAAAATCTAAAAAAAAAAGGAAAAATAAGCCTGAAGCCTCCAGTAGCACCCTTCTTTTTATAATGCGCTTATTTGATTTTAAAAGAAAAATGCCTAAACCCTAAAAGGCTGCATAAACAAATAAATTTGGGCTGAAAATGTCCAGCCCCGTTAAATAATTTCTTTTCAACCTTCCTTTAGGTCAGAAAGGAGAAAAAGGATAATAAAACAGAATTTGAGAGAAGAAAGGGATATTAGAGCTACCAAGCGGAAACTGGAGTCCAACCTTCTGCCCCTTCTTGCAGCTGAAGCCCACTGACACGCATAAACGTTACCATCAGTCCATCCCTCCACGGAGGAACTACTCTGTTAGCGATGTTTCTCCACATATTTAGGCAATGTCTGCTCCTCTCTCCAAGTCTCACCTTCCAGAGCAGCAGAAAAGGGGGACTTTAAAGACATTTCTAAAAAATCATCTGCCTGGCAGCCTTTTCAACATTGGAAATGGTGACCCTCTCCAGGGCATGTTAAACCTTCAATTTCAAGGGAGTGGAAACAAGAATTCCCTTCAGATGGTCATTTCTATGACTTAAGAATAAGCATGCTTTTACAGTAGAAAAGAGAGCTACCTTTAAAGTCAAAAGTGTTAAAAAAGGTTCTCTAATTGTCTACGTGTCCAGACAGTTGTCCGCTGCCTATAAAAGACTTTAAAAATAAAATAAGACTAGCCGTGAGCAACCTCACTTGAGTTGGCTGTTCAAATCCTCACTCAACTATGGAAGAGCTTCCTGGGGGACTTAGGGCAAGTTCTCCACTCTCAGACCCAGCTCCTGGTCCCCCCTCAGCCGTGGGAGCACCTGGGGGACACTGGGCCAGTCCTTCCCTCTCAGTCCAGCCTGCCCCAGAGAGTAGCGGTAGGAGAGGAGAGAGAAATCCAACTAGCCAACCTTAAATCAGCATTAAATTAAATTAAATAAATAAATAAAATTAAATGAGGTTTAGCACAGTGTTTCTCAACCTTGGCAACTTTAAGACACGTGGACTTCAACTC